TTAAATCCTAGCCTCGCCTGTGGTTTCCCGCGTAATTATGTTAATTGTCGATGGTCCAGTGCCATAACTCCTGACGAAATTAAAAATTGACAGAAACGTGTATTTCTTTAAGATATTAGAAATAAAGAACTTTAATGTATACTTACTAATATTATAAAGAGGTAAAGTTTGTGAGTTTGAATGTTCGTGGTAATCACAGGACCTACTGGTTCGAATTGAAAAAATCCTTTGTTGTTGGATAGCCCTTTTATCCTGCTACGACCTTTTTACGACGCAATTGAAAAGTGTTGCGAAAATTGGCAAAATGTATTCCTTTTGAGAAAAGCAGATAGTGAGTCAGCTAGTATGTACTAATAAGAAAGTTATTAATACCAAAATTTTCAACTCCAAACCATCATTTCAGCTATAGCAAGATCCACACTCCATCTTCCATCGACCTGCGATCTTTAAAAGGTGTTCCACCTTGTTCAGAACAATCATTAACAATGAAAACAAACACCTCTTATTTGAAGGCAGCTTATGCATGACATGCATTATCTTTTCAAGTATACGATAACGGAGTACTGAGTAATGCATAAGGATGTGCAATATTAGTTGATACTGTGATAATGGAAATAGTAAATAAAAAAAATAGAGTCTAGAGCTCTCACTTCCCGGTAACAGCCAATTCAAGCCAGAAAACTGGTGTTAACTAATTCTTTCTTAGTTGTTTTTCACAGTGAAGTTATCGGAAGCCAAAAATCCGTGTAGTGACGGATTAAGAATATGGAGTGTACCACCCCTATTCATCCCGTGGGTGTCGTAAGAGCCGACAGGCACATGAAACAAACCCTATACCAACCCGTCTGGTCAGCGTGGTATAGTAGGCTAAAACTTCCTTTCTAAGGAGAGGCCTATGTCCAGCAGTAGACTATTTCAGGCTGTTGATGTGTGCGATGATGAAACCTCTTCTCTCCCTGATTTTGGGGGGAGATTCAATGGACGGCTATGCGCTTGCTACCTTGACCTGCTCTAGTCATTACTAGAGCTCTCCAATCTATTCGTACATATGCAATATCCTCCCATAGTCTTCTCTAATATATCTAACTGTCGCTATGAAGCTAAAGATAGCCGACGGACCTACCAGACGTAGTATATGGCATGCTCCTCAAGCGTGAAGAGGTAACAGACAGACAGAAAGACAGACACACTTTCGCATTTATAATAATAGTATGGATTTTAAATATCTCATGAATAAACATTTGAGATCATCACGAAAGTTTCGCATACACTTTGCCAGGATAGGTATATATATGCCAAATCCAAAAAAACCTGAGCGTACATAAAAACTTATTTTGATTTAAGTTATATACATCCAAAGCAAAGAACACAAACCATTTTACTAACTAAATGCAAAGACTGACAAACCTTACAATAACATGATTTATTTGATCAACGGACAAGAACTAAGTACCATAGAGCTGCAAGAATTATTTCTAAATCATACAATTAATTGTCTCATGTGATGAAAAAATTCACAATCCTCAACAATGGTTGGTGACATAACCGCTTCAATGTTTACATATGTTTACGAGATTTAATATTCCTTACGTTCTACAGTTCGTTAATAACTGACCAAACTAACCCTCTATAACCTGTCTAAAAACCTTAGATTGCAAAGAGCTTCAGTAAGCTTTATTCTTGAACAGAACTTTAGGTTCATATCAAATATGGTTAGGTAGAAGGGGTAACACAGCAGACAGTGGAGGTGAGCGCTGACACGTCACAAAGAGTACTCCCTAAACCTACTCCTGGGTTGCATGTCCCAGGTGCTTGCGCAGTCACATGTGTTGCCCCCATCTATCATTGGATGGACACAGCACCCGCACAATGAATCATTGGAACGCTAAGGAATAGCTTAATATATGAATTTATTGATATTACTCTTCTAATCTTATCATCATCATCGTCAACAGCCTTTAATGGTTCAATGCTGGATAGAGACCTCTTCGTAGAGAGGAGGTTTTGGCCTTTGGTTTCCTTATCTATAGGAATGTAATGAGGCCGATTTGATTGTAGCCGTTAGATTTGAAAAGCTCTTTTTGTATATAATAGAGTATTCCTAGGTATAGCCCTAAGGGTATGAAACATCAAGTTAACGCTGAAACAAAAGCTGAAACCATGAACATGGGAGGAACTGTTGGAAATAGGTAATTTCATAATTAAATAATTGAAATAACTTCACCACACCTCACACATGGCAGTCTGATTCCAAACTTAGCAGAGCCCGTGTCACGGTAACCAGTCTGCTGACAAACCCACTTAAGCATTCTTAATACACATATAATAATAATAATAATAATAAGCCCTTTATTCTGAATTATCTAAATACAATATTAAACAGTTCATAAGATTAGTCTATAAAATATCTCACAATTCAGAGTGCCTCTTGGCATAGGCCTCCTCTAGGACTTTCCATTGGGTTCTGTCTTGCGCCCTTCTCCAGTGGTGTCCAGCTGTTAGCCTCAGGTCATCTGCCCATCTCGCTTGTTGGCGTCCACTATTACGTTTGCCATAAATACACATATTATTATATAGATAAATTATTACAATCAGATACAGAATAAATGATCATAATCACCCAAAATTATTTGTCGTAGGGAATCTAACCCACAACCTCTGGCTTTGCAGTCAGGGTCACTTACCACTAGACCAACAGGCGCTTAAAAAAATTGTGAATTGATTTGAGTTAATGGGAATTTTTATATAAAATGAAGTCCCCTGGCCGCGTCTGTCTGGATAAACTCAAAAACTTCCCAACAGATTTTTGTATGGTTTTCACCAATAGCCTAGTGTGATTCCTGAGGAAGGTTTAGGTGTATAATTCATGATGGTTTTATGTAAATTGACTGAAATATAACGATTATTGTTGAAGACGTCGCAAAAAATATTATGCTATATATACCGCGCAAGAAAACGATTACAGTTACCGAAATCCACGTGGGCGAACCTGCGGGCGGAACTTAGTGTAATATAAGATTCTGTTCACAGATTACTTATGTAAGTTCTGTCACATACACAAATCTTGTTCATATTTTGTTTATCTCAGAAATGGCTCTAACAAAGCACATGGATTTTTTCTTGTATTTAGATAAGGTTTTCTTGCTTTTAACTTTTATCTATAAAGGTGACTTACCAGTAAAAACTGCAGAAGGTTAGTCACTCAAGTACTTGAAGTTAAATTTTGGATGATCCCCTAAATATTTTAATTTAACAATAAAATCAAAAAAGATTAAGTAAACCAAGCAGCCATTTAGATTAAAAACTACTTTGGCCAAATTAAGACTTGAGATTTAACTTATAATAAAATTAAAAGTGTCTGGCCAGTGTGGTATAGTAGGCCAAGACCTCTTTTCTAAGGAGAGGCCTATGTCCAGCAGTGGACTGTTAAAGGCTGTTGATGGTGATGAAAATTAAGAGCAAGGAAACCTTTACTTTTATTTTAATAAGGGGCATATTATAAAATTTGATTTATCTTTGTAGTAATATTTATAATTTAGTTTTGTATGTTCTAGAATATTTTATCTAATATTGTTTGCTTATGTTGTAATTTGTTCTCAAAGAATTTTCGTAAAAGTGTTTATAACATTCTTTACTACTACTGTTAAGTGTTATAATACTTATAAAATTCGAACACAATTTTAATAAATTACAAATATATTTAATAAACAAATAATAATTTTAGTATTTGCATATTAAAAATATTTAATATTCAAAAGTAGTATTCAAATTTGGACTATTTATTTTAAGAGTAGCAAAAGGCAGACAACATGTTTGTGACTCCTAAATCGCAGGCGTTCATAGGCGGCGGTAATCACGTTCAATCAGGTGATCCGTCTGCTCGTCTGCCCCCTCTTCCATAAAAAAAAGCATTTGAGGATGTGTTAAATGCTGGAAAATTAATTATTATTTTTTACTTGGGGTGTATCTCCTATCCCATTACTTCTATTTCTCATTAGTTTATATATTTGTGTATACAAACCAGTCTGAAATAATTAACATTATTAATCTAATAGTACTGTAACTAACATTATAGTCAAGCAACTGCCTGAAACACAGGTGACACACTTAGCTCAGGCTCTCAGGCCGTATTCTGATTTTGATTTTACCTTTTTATATTCAGTCTTGCACATTTTAGAATAGTCATATACTTAATTATTTTATGTTAGCTTTAGTAACCAACTTTATATAAAAATATGTAAATCATATACAAAATGTAACTAAGACCCTGATTCTGCAATTATTTTTTTTTATCATTGCAGCCTCTGTAATAAACTACATTATTATATTTACTAATGTAATAAATAATTATCGAATATACATGTATAACTTGTTATTATGTTATAAACTTTAGAAACCTAATAATTATTTCAATATGATTATTTAGCCACTTACATTGATTTGTAACATTGTTTAAATAAAATAAAAAAAAAATATAAAAAAATTAACAATACTGTAAGTAAGTAAAACTGTAAGTACTTAAAACAAAATTGAGTTTAATAAATACTCTAGAAAAATGTTAACATTGCTAAGTTGATTGCTCTACATATTTCTTCTAAACCAAATATAAACACTTATTTATGTAATTAACTCAAATTTAAAAAGACAGTCAAACATTTATAAGATCACCATCTATCTTTATGCAAAGAAAAAAACTGCAATTATTATAAAATAACACCAATAACTATTAATGTTTATTTATATCAGCGAAAACATCATGTGGGTCATTGCAATGAAATAATTATGTGTCGTAATCATAACACGACGATACTCGCGGAGTAGGCGTCAATAATACTAGTTATGCACTTTTAATTTGGCGCATAAACACGTTCCACCAATAAGCAACACCCGTTCATTCACGCCCTCGTAATTAAGTTGACAATATGTAAACCTTGAAAACAATGCGAAATCGCGCTCTAATCTACCCATTTCCCAATCATAATATTGATAATATTACTGACCTTCGGCGCTCTGGTTTAACAATACGGGACCCCCAGAAGACGGCAAATCCTTCTTCTGTACAACTTTAGGCGAATCAGAGTCCGAATCGTCGAACACAAGTGTCCGCACCGACTGGGAACATCGACGATCCATCGTTACTCTCACTGCACAACACACAAATGCACTAATATATCCCCCATTTATTACCCCGTTGAACTTTAAAACATATTCACGGTCTATTTACATGACACCATTGATCCGCGCGGAAACATTGAATAAAATCAAGATATTCATAAACGATTGTAAATGCAAATATTTTCTAAGCCATGATAAATAACGCGACACACGACTTCGCACAAATCGTAAAGTGACAATTTTGAAGTAAAAAGCAGTGTTGCCAAAATTATCAAATGGTCCCATCAGTGTTACCAGTTGCGAACACACAGTGAGAACTAAGGGTAATTACGAGACCTTTTTAATAACCTCTTTTTAACCTCTTCAATGTTAATGGTGAAAAGTCAACATAACACTCTAATTGTTGTCAAAAGAGAAAGTCGGCTGACAATTAGGGTTTATGGTAACAAAGGAAACTCTATACTAACAACTGTTTTTAAGCGATAAGTAGAATTGAAAGACGTACTCATTTTGCAGAAATGAATGAAAGATTTTATGTACTTACAAACAAGTTACAGTTATAATGTAAAATCAAACAATACTATCTCAATTCGCACATACGTAAATAAATTCTAGTTAAATTGTTTAAAGAATCTAATGGAATAACATTAAATTAATTTTCTGATTAATTAAATTAAATGCGATAAACATTTACAAACAGTTTTTTTTTGTGCCGTAACACAGTCTTTTGACTAGCACGGGAGGTAAAGACTTTATCGAAAAGAAAATAAATTATATATATATTTACTGTTCCTATAGCAATAAATAAAACCCTATCTAAATCTTGTTTAATAGTTATTGTTTAATAGTTTTTTTTTGTTCTATTAAAGACGAGATAGGATTACATAGGGATTTTTTTATCCCTTAGGAGCAGATCTTTATCTAGATAAAAGAAATGCTTTGTCTTTTTCTGTACGTGTCAAAAAAATCCTGAAGCACCTTAACCACTCAACTGATCATCATGATGCTTTTGGATACAAGTTATCTGGAGTAAAGACAAAGACTTCTATTAAGCCCTAGCTACTTTAAGAAACAGTCAAAATAAGTAAGTAAATATTGTGATTATTTTTTTGTCTTTATTTACGAAGCTTAACCACAATGATGACTATGTCGCTCCATCATAGCCATTTTTTGTTTTAAACTTTACTTAAAAATTGAAAATACAAAGTATAATTAGCCTTCGCTGTATCTGTTAAAGGACTGGCCAGGATGCTGTTACATATTCCTTTGCTTATTTTGGTATACAAAAATGCAAAAAAAAAACATAGTCATAGAGAGAAGAACATAAGCGGCCTTAATGGTTTCTGGCGGTACCAGGGTACAGATCAAGTTAGTTTAACATTAAACTGTTTAGTTAGATGATTTATCAAGACATCTTAGTATTTAACCGACTTCAAACAGGAAGAGGTTCCACTGTATGTATTTTTTAGATTATTTTCTACAGCGTAATTGGCTATGTTGATGTTCTCTATATAGGTACCAACACCTATAAGATTTCCCACAGCCATCTTTCCACGTAATTCTTATTGCAAAGTACACACAAATTTAGTGTACTATATGAGAAAAAATTAAATCACACGAGATTTTAATGTTTGTAATGCATGCGCAACAGGATTATTTACCCTTTTCTGAATACTCTTTTTATCTATCATATTGAAGCCTTCATTCCTTTGTAAACTGTACGTCGTCTTTCCACCGTACACAGAGTATTGTTTTGCTTAAAATACAATTTAAACAAAACAATGTCATCTATAATATTTTTCTATAATTTTACGAGACCATTTTTAGAATTTACGTATATATACTAAAACACCACATTCTTTGCCGTACTTGTGACAATATGTTATCAACAACAATCAACTCACTTAAGCATGTAGGCAACAAAAAAACACAACAACAGCCTATAATAGTCCACTGCTGGACATAGGCCTCTCCTTAGAAAGGAGGTTTTGGCCTACTATACCACGCTGGCCAGACGGGTTGGTATAGGGTTTGTTTCAAGTTTTCCTTCTCTTTGCAGTGCTGTTGTCCTGCTTAATTTGCTCCCTCAGTCGACTCTTACGACACCCACGGGATGAATAGGGGTGGTGACATTCCGTATTCTTAATCCGTCACCACACGGATGCATGATGATGCACACGGAGCATGTAGGCTCAGATTACAAATTGTTTTGTAATATTGTAATACTGTAGGTGTTAAGGTATAATATTAGTAAGAATGAGTAGTATTTTGGTGCAGTATGACATGACAACATGTAAGGTTAGGTGTTAGGTTTTGGTGTTGAATAAGAGGCCCAAACGGACTTTCTTTCGATGGGTGTAAACTCTTAAAAGATGCCATATTAGACACAGCCTACAGCTTATTTTTTTATCATTTGTTTTAAACCCAGTCAGGGCATAAGTAAATTTTTAGATTCAGTGGTAAGTAAATACACGGGTTTTTGGGCTCAGAAATGTAGGGTGAAGTAATTTTGAGGATGGTAACACAGTCAAATGTTTCACCTTACAAATGTACTGTTCATGATGTTGATTTGTAAACATTCTAATCTGATGTTGTTTTATCGACTGCGCAGGTATAACACTCTATTCTAGTGCACTTTGCAGTAGAAATTATCTAGGAATGTTGCATATCCTAGAGTATCTATTTAAACAGAAAATATCAATATGCCCAATTACATTTTTTTTTTAATATACAGAATGTTAAAAAAATTGCCATGTCATGTAATTTTAAATCATAAAACCAAACAGTTGAATAAAAATTTTGATCTTTCTTCTTTATTCGTTCTTTCTATTTATCTTTCTATATATTTTATAACTGACTAAAACCGCTAATGCTCTCTCTACAGATACTTTTTCCAAAGTTCAAAATATTACTGGGACTGGGTTTTGAAAGATTTTAGTGAGTTTGCTACATGCAGATTCTTTTTTGTTGCATATAAATCGATGATGTAATTTTGGGCATGTTTATGCATAACAGAATATGTTTATCTGGTTGGAACAATTTTAATTAAAAAATATTCAATATCTCTCTATAACATCATTTCATATATTAAACATGATTATTACGTCAACCTATTCTTTAAATGAGTAAAAAAAAAATATAATTTAAACTATTAGTAGAATTCAAAAGATTGAACAGAATCCCTACATTACTTTTAATTAAAAAACATGTTCAAAAATGATAAAAGCGCCATCTATTGATTCAAACAATAAATAAAAAAATGTATTTCTTACCATTGTAATAAATTAATAAAATTGGCATTTTATGTTGCCAGACTTGTAAAAAAGAATGATTCTTTTTAAATTTCTTATTTGATGTAAGAGTTCAATAATATGGTCATTAATAGATAAATACATTTTGAGCTAAATAAAAGTTTTCTTTTACATATTAAAACATGTATAAAAAAATTATCTAATCGACACACTACCGCCATCTAGTGACACTACTTGTCAAAATAAAGTTGTTCCGTCAAAAGAAACGGAAAAACACGAGTGTGCGTCGCCTCGGTAGATATCAGTTGAATTATTCGGCTAAAATGCCCTGGCACGGGCATACGTAGTCGTCGGTCCGCCATTGCGACGCAGCCGAAGACACGTTCGTCGTATTTAGTTAAATATTTTCGTTTATAAATGAGTAATAACGCTCATGAACTAAGTAATCGACTTCTTAATGCGTTGGATAACAATTACAATGTAAGTTTCAGAGTTTAGACGACTGTAAGTCCATTAAACTAGTCGAGATACGAAAACGGTCCACGAGCCCATGACACCCGATTCGAAGTTGCGATTCGGCTACTCGCGAGGTTGCCTCGGGAGTGCCTTGTGCAGTGATATGATCACAAGATATGTTGATAACCGTCCAAACAATAAATCGGAATATAGTGTTAATCGCGGGGCGGAAACGGACCGTGTGGATACGTGAGCGTTGCGAGTTAGAGGGGCCACTGACGTCGCCAGCCCGCCGCCTCGTCCCTCCGTCCCTAGTGCCAAAAATTTTGCAATGTGAAAGTATGGAATTGTGCCACGCGCGACCTTTCCCGTTTATCTTCTCCGCTGTGACAAAACGAATGGGCTGCTGTGAATATGTGTTTTTGTACTGATTGACATTACGTGAGTACGAACTTAGTTATAGGTTGTGTAGCGGGCACCTGGCGCCTTTGCGTGCCGTATGCTGCTCCTCATCACGCACATTTTTCCCTCATTGTCCATATTTGTGTCTGAACTAATTTGCAGGTTGTGTAACAAGTATTTGAATGTTACTTTTTGTGATTACTTAGCGTACTCGTGTTATTTTTTTTCTTTGCCTGTTGCTAAGGAGTCATAGTTGCAGGCCTATGTGCAAAGAGTTTGTATATATACTTAATGTTTTGACAGCTGTTTGAGTACAATTTTATTACCATTCTCGTTGAGTTGAGTACAATATTATACAAATGAATATCAGCCAAACTAATGTATCTTCTTGTAAACATATACATTTTGTATGATATAGAAATAATTATATTACATTACTGCTATGACTGATACTGGTAATTTTGTATCTGTTTCTTTCCTTATTTAGTGCTACTAGTAGTTGCCATGCAAATACCAAGTTATTGAGGTTAATTATGGTTTGTTTTGGAAAGATAAGTACTAGTATGATTGGTTTAGGTGTTAAAAATATACATGAAATTTATCTTGATATTATCTATATATATATATGAATTATAGTAATACAAACATGTTTATGTCACAAAGTTTGTAGGTGAAGGTAAAAGGCTAGTCAACGTTTCCGAACATCAGCTGATCCCACAATAATTGGATCTGTTTGCTGTCATGACTACTTATAATAGTTTACAACAATATAATCATGTCTAATTATTAAAAACTAACTATAATATATATAGCAATATACATATCGTAAGATTTAGTTATATACAACTAAAACATGAACTTAAAATTTCTCAGATCCAAGATGACATGCTTGGTATCATCGGAATAGTTCAAAACATCTCATATTTCTATAATAAGTTTAGTAATCTGAGTCCTTAAATGTTATTTGTAAAGTTTTGCCATTTCTGTATGTCTGCATTCCGTTTAAAATCATAGTTTTTAGACTTTCAGGATTTTACATATTAGAGATACATTTATAAAAAAAAACTGTAGATTAGTTGCCTATGCTAACTTTTAAACTTTAAATTATCATTATAACCAATTAAAGCGGCAATAATAAGGTGAATAGATATTACATGTCTTTTGACTGACGTTTTGATCAGATCGTGATTACTTTCGGTCTGTTATTTGCCTCATATGCAACAATTGCTTGTGCTGCTGCTTGTGTGAATAGTTTTTATAGGAAAACTTTCCTTCTGCAACAATATCACATATATTCATTAGTATATATAACAATTTCTTCAATGTGCCTTGAAGGCACAACATGAGCTTGAAACATACACAGTGACTGTGTATCTTTCAAGTTCATGTTATAAAAAGCTTACACAATCTCTTTAGTTAACTTTTTTCAAGTTATCTTGATGACTCACTGAACTGAGCCATTCTGATTCAAATAGGTAGTGTTGAATGTGAAATATTTCAATAGACTATGCAACATTATGCAATCCATCAGATTAAAAGCACATTATTAGGGTTAAAGAAAGCTTTATTCGGTACAACTTAATAGATTTGTTTTAATTTTAAGTTTTAGTAAAGTAAATAGGATAATTATGAAACATTTTAAGATGTTATTCGGTTGCTTATTTTGCACCTGAGCTTCATCTTCTTCCAATTTGTCAATAAGTAGTCACCACCAAACATCATGTTTAATGTTCTATAAGTTTTATCAAAATGCTAATAACAAAACGCATCCCTACATCAATGATGACTAGAGCTAATTATTGTTTATTTTGTATTGTAAAACTTATCAAAAGTAAGTCTCTTCTCCAATTTGAGTCTGATATAAATTTAAGTACCTAAGTTAGTCCAATCCATCCTTTGCATTACCTGCTTCTACTCTGATAGCTATTTCGATGATACTTTTCTGTCCAGATTTTGCTCCATTTGGCCTGGTTCTTGGGATGGTTTCAATGTAACAGAGACTCCATGTTACCTTGAAACCAGCCCATCTCCATCTCATTTGGTGTTCTAGTTCTTTCCTAGTTTTTATAGGTTTCTAACAGTGTGTTGTATACCCTGTGGTTTCTAGACAGTGCCTAAGTGCCTTGAGCTTAGTTTTGTTACTGAGATTGGTTACTTTACCTAAATCAGATAAATGTATTCTTACATATTCCAGAGGTTGGTTGTATATTTATATTACATGGAGATTTGCTAGTAGCTTTGTATTATTTGTATTCATTGTCAGTCAGCACCTCACTTTTGAAATAGTATTTTTCTGCAAAAAGACAATTTCTTTTGAAAATCAAGAGTGGTGTAGCCTCTTTTTACCAGGTTTAGTCTCAGTTTATCCCATTCCAGTTTTCAAAATATGTTTTCTGGAACAGAAGAGAACAACATGGTAAATAGTGGGTCACTTTGACTCCTTTGTCAATTTTGATGGTTCTCGTAGTCCATTTGTATTCTTACATTGCAGTTGACATATATTTTAGTTATGACGTTAGAGTAAGCTTTCTATTTTTCCTGTATTTTTAAGGTGCCCCATATTACATCATCATTTATATTGTTGAAAGCCTTTGCATAATCACTGAAAGTGAAATACAGATGTTTGTTGTATTTTCTGTTCTTTTTTTTTTACTGTGACCATGTGGTCATTGTTAAGACATGCATTGTTGCTGCAAACAGCTCTTTTAATATGAGATCAATCAATTTGTGACTACAAAATTAACCATGGCATAATGTTTCAATTAGTAAACTATATTTGAAATCTAAAAAGTTCAATCCCTTTGGTAATTACATTACTAGCCTGATGACAAAAAGTTATGCTGCATCCATGGATAGTAACCCTCCAGACTTATTTTTAGTTTAGGTCTGTCATTTAAATCATCACCATCAACAGTCTTTAATAGTCCACTGTTGCACTCTCACTCCACAACACTCCTTAGAAATAAGGTTTTGGTCCACTAGACCATACTGGCCAGATGGGTTGATGTAGCGTTTGTTTCAAGTTTTCTTTCTCTTTCCAGTGCTGTTGTTCTACATAGTTTACTCATACATCTTTACTCATACATAGTTTATTCGACTTTTATGACACCCATGGGAGGATGAACAGGGGTGGTGACCCTCTGTCACCACACTGATTTTTATTTGTCATTTAAAATACATTGTTATCTTCTTGTTTTGAACTACATTCTCATCTTTCATAATGCAATTTCTTTAAGCTGAGATAAGACTGGTTATGTTATTTATGAATGGCATTCAACTAGTTGCTATGTTAGGTCATTAACACCTGTAGCTATGTTAATGACCTTCAAGTAATAGCCCATTACATATTTAACATGACAATGTTAGCAAAATAATTTATGTGGTAATATATCCAAAACGTTTAATGAAATGAAAACAATGTGTGAAACATGAATGGTCTTGCATGCACATGATACACTACGTTATTAGCAAACAACGTTGTATTTAGTTTGTGTGTAAGACTGAGGTTGTAATCTGCTTCTTAGTGATTATGTTTTAAAGGAAGCCGTGGTAACTCCTAATCCCTTAACAAAAATCAGTGCAATTAAGAACCTTTTCTTTTTACTACTAGTTGAATTCTGTTTAAATTTAATTCTGTTTATTAAAAGACTATCATCATCAACAGCCTTTAATATTCTACTGCTGGACATAGGCCTCTCCTTAGAAAGGAGGTTTTGGCCTACCATACCACGCTGGCCAGACGGGTTTGCTTCAAGTTTTACTTCTTTTTGCAGTGCTGTTGTCCTGTGCATTTTGTTCCCTTAGTCGGCTATTAGAACACCCACTGGATGAATAGGGGTGGTAACATTCCATATTCTTAATCCGTCACCACACGGATTAAAAGATTAGAAAGTAGTAGAATCTTTGGACAAAGAAGCTAGAAGTTAGAAGTCTAAACTCTACATGGACTATACATAGACCTTCACTTCTGATCATCAAATCAAACATGTTTGCCTGATACACTGCATTAGTGTAATCTCTAGGATTTAAAGGAAAAATTAGACCACTGTGACATTATCCTTATATTTTTTTTTTAAGGACAACTACACTAGGAATAAAGCCTGTGTCGGGGGACTTTACAAACATACATGAAATGGACACAAAGTTCACCCAGACTCAGAGCAACAATTTGTGGATCACACAAAGTGTTGTCCCATGTGGGGTGTGAACCCACAACACTCGGCGCAATAGGAAGTGGCGTGGCGTCCGCTTATTATATTTCTGGCAAAAACGTAGTCAGTGCTTTGTGTCAGTTTTACCCGCGTAGTAATAGTTTTCACTAACTTGGTGAGGACATAGGGCGTTGTGTGAGCTTCACATCAACTCACATTCGACGACGTTTGGGGACCAATCGCAGCGCCGAACGCGGTAAACGTGATCTAGTGGATGTGAAATAAACTTACATTTGGCCCTCTGAATTACAGTTACTATCCTACTACAGCTTCATTAATATTTAACTTTTTTTAAAGTCCACCGTCAACTTCAATGCATTCTCATGATGATAAATAATAATAATAATAAACATATGGACTGCACGGATGGCGTAGTGGTTTAAGCGGTCGCCACGCCGCTTCCTACTACGCCGAGTGTTGTGGGTTCAAACCTCACATGGGACGACACTTTGTGTGATCCACAAATTGTTGTTCTGAGCCTGGGTGTTCTTTGTGTCCGTTTCATGTATGTTTGTAAAGTCCCCCGCGACACAGGATTTATTCCTAATGCGGGCGTTGTCTTTTTAAAAAAGAAAAAAAAAGAAAGAAAAAGGACATAATAAACAATTGTAATAATTGTTTTCTTTAATCCTTAATTTTACTTTTTAATGCTCCATAATTTTAGAATTTAGTTTTTTTATTTCAAATTTTGGATAGGACCAAGTGAAAAGTATTCCTTCCAATGACAGAGTCGAAGTAACAAAAAAAAAACGAATTCAGAACCTCTTGCTTTTTCTAAAGCCGGTTAACAGTTGCCGGGACTGCCCCGAGATTTGAATGATTTGTTTATAATATAAAACCCCCACTCATCATTTTTTAATAGAAATCCAATTGCCGTTTCTAGAGAATGTTATTAAAACTTGCATCGAACATACAGCCAAGGGCGCTTGTTTACGTAACTGTGACATTTACACTGATAAAATTATTAAAAAAAACTTTTTTTTTTTTTTTTTTTTTTTTTTTTTTTTTCAATCAATCAATTTTATTTACGAGTGTAGTTATTTATGTACATAGTTGTTACAATATAAACTAGGAACGGCCATATTCTCTCTAGATATTAAAATATTATGATATTAGATACGTTACCTCATGTATCCCTCGATCAATATTACGTCTTCTATTATTAGTCAGACGTTTCTAGAAGTATTTACCTGGTACTGGAAGAGGTTACACGTATTTTCACATTGATTATCTTTTTAACAGACTATTTATATATTGTATAATAATAAGGCCAAGGCTGGATGCGAGAAGCCCAAAATCGATCGCCCAAATGTCCAGCAGTGGACTGCGATAGGCTGATGATGATGAATAATAAGGCGTATTTCGAATTTTCTAAAGTCAATTTGTATTATTTTTGTTGGTTTAAATCTGTGTGGTCTGATTCTGTATGTGTTACGAATAATGGGTCTCTAATTATGTTACTCAGCTATCTATCGGTATTTAAAAACAAAATTTCCCTAAAACCTACTAAGTGAAATTAATACTATTTTGTTCTATTTTGTTTTGTTTTTAATGATGAAGAACGGATAGGATTCGTATTTAATTTTGTTAAAATCGGTATATTTATTTTATCTGTAAGCTATCCCCATGTAATTATTTTTTCTGCAAACTCGTAATAATTCATACGGTCACACAACTCGTCGTCGCACGCGCACCACAATCATAGGAAACTGTCGATAGTTATTTTTTTCTTTCATTGATTGCGGAACGTCGTAAAACTAAGAAATAACGTAAACTACGTTAAAAAATAACATTGTATTTTTGCCACAGATTTTTCAATGTTTGTTTCAATATTTTTGTAATTTTCTCGCGTCGTTCAGTAATATAATGAATACCGATATATGTATAAGTCGTACTGACGATTTAAGCTTAGAAAAGGATGCTCCATGACTCCATTGACCTCGTCTGATTTCTAGTTTACCCAGGTGGGGTTGCCCATGGATTAGTGGGCAAGCCGTAGATGCTAGGATGGTTCTAAGGTCTACATTTTTTTTACAGTTACTTGTTAAGGAGCTCTAATAACATCCAATCGAATTTTCTAAAAGCTTGGATGGTTTCTGTTTTGGACAAGTTACGGTAACATGGCAAAATAGATGGCATAACCATACGATCTATTACTTCAGTGTTCAGACTGTAACTTCAGTGTTTATAGTCACTACTCCGCTTCTTTAAGGTCGCACCGTGATGTTACACAGCCTATAACTCTCCAATAAATACTCGGGCAAAGTCGGCGTGGGCACTATTATATGTTGATTAAAAGAACATTATAGAATACAGTAACTTATATCGGTTTAATAAGTCACAAACTTTTTTTTACCTTTTTTTGGAAATCCCGTATGAACGCGGGTCTTTACCTATTTTTAACGTGACTTAAACTTACGAAGATGTTTTTATTGATTGACTGACTGACTGTGATTGACAAATGTTTGATGGCTCAAAATCAAATTTGATTGTCAGTCATACGGGTGAAGGCATTTAGACGAGAGATTTATCAGTCAGTATTGGGAATGACTGATGTAAAACTGACGGTATAGTTTGACGGCTGCCTTGAGGTACTTTCAGATGCTGTGAGGATAATGATTTTTCAAATGTATTTTATTAATGATTCCAGGTTGTCGACATGCATACTGTTAACGAAATTATATCCATATTGGAGAGAATCAATATCACAAAAGAATTGTTGGAGGTGAGCTATTTTGAAGAATTATGCGTAGATAAATGTAGATAATTAAATTATTTATTTTTTATTAACGATCTCTTATAAACGATATACGTCTCAACCAAAACATCATTAAAATTAAGTGTCATGGTTTCTAATTGAAAAAAGATTACAGCATGCAAGTGGTATATCTTGAGTCAAGAGGTTTTATATTCACTTTGGTTTTACCCATGTTGTAATCCAGACCAGTATTGGACTAAACGATAGTATGCATCCATAAGGGTTAGACGAGTAAGCACCAGACACAATCCTGACCAGCCATCTGACCTGTCGGCAAGCTATAACCTTGACCAGTGATGGACAGGAACGGTGATTCTCCAAGAAGAAAAAAATGTTTACTTGATTTCCAATGGGATTGGAACTAAGTTTTAATTTGCAAGGATTTTCTAAATTGTACTTTTATCTAATGACTGACTGGATGAATATAAACCACTTTTTTATCTGTAATTCGAAGAAAAGCCAAGTGGGAACCACTTTTTTTTGGATAACAGCTTTAATATGCAACAGTTTTAAATAATTTTAATATTGTAATCCGCAGACCACCCGATTGGGAAAGCACGTAAATGAGCTGCGACGGAAGACGACGGAGCCAACGCTAGCGAGGCGAGCCAAAGTGCTCGTCAAACGGTGGCGGGACCTCGTCATACCTAACGTTGCTTCTCCTGGACACCCAGGTAAAATATTATCTAGTGGTGTGTGCCTACCCTTATCCAAATTTTATTTCTGGTCGCCGTAGTATATATGATTCTTCCATTCTACTCTATTATTCGCCATTTTACTCAAATCATCCACTTTTTCTTTGGTCTTACTCTTCTCTTGTACCCTTCAACTCCCATTCCTAACACTTTCTTCGACACATTTTCCTCATCCCTCCACATGACATGTCCATACCAAGATAATCTATTACTTCTTAACTTTTCATCCAGTGGCGCTGTGGTGTACGCATCACCCCATAAATCAGTATATTGAGTAGAGTGAAGTATCATTATAGTCCATTTGCGTTAAGAAAATAAATTATCATTTCGTACGAAAGCTTGGAATCTGATTGGTTAGGCTTGACCGACGCGTCACTATATTCTTAACGCGGATTGACAATATTGTGGTCAGGTTTCATATTAATCCTGTTTTAAATGGTAAATCAAGTAAATGGAAGCATGCTTAAATGCAGTACGTGCTGTACCGTGTTTTTTGTTTGTTCGATTACGAAACAGCGTCCACTGAAATCTCACTGTGGTAAAGGCCCTAGATGGTCTTTTCACATTTCCATCTGAGTACCAGGGATTTCCTGCCTAGGTTACACCTCGTTCCCCGGATACTGCTACCCTAGATGGCGTGCGGTTTTAGTCGGTTCGAGTCCGATATTACCACCTCACCAACCTACCGGACAACCGTCCGGTAGAGTGTTTATGGGTAGTGGGAAGTGGTTATGGGTATTCGAAAGGATTTCCACGCCAAAAAACGGGTATTTCCTCATTTGATTTGGGCGGGCCATCATTGCTCTCGAAACCTATAGGCAATATTTTCGCAGGTTCAAATCGATCATCAGCTGAGAGAGCAGTCCGACGGCTAGGCGGCACTCCTCTCACTTCACCGGCACTCTCCAGGGTATACATCTTTTTGATATACATAGACAATGTTTTTAATCAGAGCAGTTGGCGAGGGTATGGCTATGGCCTTTTTTTGTTGATTTGTTCGGCTAAAAAAGATAAAAATGTACTGGTGTGTGGTGTGTTAGTAATTTCAACTTGTTCAAGAAAATAATGAATTGTTAATCATCAGCATCATCAACAGCCTTTACTAGTCCACTTCTGGACATAGGCATAGGCCTCTCCTTAGAAAGGCTGTTTTGGCCTACTAAAACGCGCTGGCCAGACGAGTTGGTATAGGGTTTGTGTCAAGTTTTCCTTCTCTCTGCAGTGCTGTTGTCCTGCGTAGTTTGCTCCCTTAGTCGCCTCTTACGACACCCATGGGATGAATAAGGGTGATGACACTCGGTATTCTTAGTACGTCACCACCACCAGAGATTAAAATTATAGTTGTCAAAACTAGCCCAATAGACCAGACTTGTCTTCAGATTTAATACTTACATCAAATCTAATTCATAATATTGTCTGCATTACAGCAAGTGGTCAGCCCTGCGGTGCCAAGTCCTCGCCCGCTGTCCAGACCGGGTTTGTATTACCTTTGAACGTTTATTATCAAGGGGGGTTGTTGAAAAGAATTGTTTTTTTTTTAAGTAAATTATAATAGCTCCTCGAGGCTTGCAACACCAGTGTAATTACTGAATTGGCAACACTAGGCATGTTTTAAACTCGTATAAGAGACAAAACGAAAAACCTGTGTTACTAGAAAAGTTAGACACTTAAAGGTCAATTCTCAAATTAAAAAAGATTATTAACATTGAATTTATAATGCGTAGTTAAGTTACAAAAAACAAAACAAATTTCATCTTCACAAGGTTATATTTAAAATAAAAGTATAATATACTGATTTTATATTCCAGCATGGGGTGGTTACGAGTCAGACTCGCAGGATGTGATCCTGGTAGACGACGAGCCGCCCGCGCCGCCTGTGCCCAACCCCCTCACCAACACACTCAAACCACTTACTCCACGTAAGTGTACGAAACTCCACCCTCCAAGAGTTTGTAAGAGATCATTCTAATAATTTACCTGCAAGTTGTGCAAAACACATGAAGTTATCCATACAAAGATTGTTTGGATAAAACCGCTAAATAGTTGATTAGGCCAAATACCGAATATTCGGCGAAGTTCTTGTCCGTTGAGCCGAATATTTGGCAATACTTTGTACATACCTTTGACAGCTTTGAAACTGCATCACTAAAGTAAATACTTGTGATGATGACACAGTGGGCGCGCTGTGATTGGGTCGACTAACAACACACTTTATTTGTTGATTGTTAGTATTTTTACAATAAACTGTAATATCTAATGTGATTATCTTAAGAGATATAACTGTTTGTTCGCGAAAATGACATCATTAAAAAAAAGGTACTTATTGAATATCATAAAATATATATGTAGTTCAAAACAAATTGGCATTTTCTTTGCTGTGTCATGATTGGTATTAGGTGTTCAGCTGAATAGCCGAATACCGAATAGTTGCCGAATATTCGGGGCATCTTCAAAAGTAATGGTGTCCAAAAAAGCCTAATTTTATGGTATAAAATGGTTTAAAGTTTTAAATGTTTATTTCTGGTTTCAGCGGTGAAAAGGCCTCCCTCGCCGGAACCCTTACACGATGAAAAGAAAGCGAAACGAGATAAAAAACCTAAGAAGAGAAGGTAAGTTAATAAGAAATATGGAGCAGAATTTTCAACAAATCAGAGACAACTACAAATGTAATTAAAATCAATTGCTAATATACTATAGTTACAATGTTTTCATGACTTCAGCAAAGAACAGAAAACAGTTCAATGACTGAAGGTATGCGCGCGCAGGTTCTAACATTCCCAGCTTCATGCGTTGGTTTTTAATCCTAAACTAAATTGTTTGTTAAATTATGGATTAGGATTTCTTATGTTTTCTTGATATTTGTGTATATCGGTGCACACTACTTGAAGGCAAGAAGACGAACGTATGTACAGGCGCCATCTGATGACAGTATTGGGAACTAAAATGTAGCTAGTGTTAAATTTTCTCTATATTTCAACATTTTCTATTTACGTAAGTGTTTGTTATGATTTTATGTCTTAAATGCACACATATCAGAGGTACAAAAGGAAATGCTTTTCATCTAGAGAAAAGTACTGTGAAAAAAATTATTAACTCGAGTGAAGCTGTGGGATTCTACTAAAGTTTAAAGTACAAGATATTGATTACGAATCAGTTTAATTAATTAATATCTGTATATTGATTAATTGGACTGTCACGCATATCTTAAAAATGTATGAAATTCTTAAAAATGATTCACTCTTAAGATTTGGTTTTTGTAATTTCAGGGGTCACAGTCGCGCAGGCACGGGCACGGAGGCGACAGCGCCGGTCGTGCCAGCGCTGGGCGCGCCCGGCCTGACCGCGCCCAGCCTGGCTCCGCCGGGCCTGGCCGCGCCCGGCCTGGCCGCACCTGGCCTGGCGGCGCCCGGCCAGGCCGCGCCCTGGGCCGCCCGCAACGGCAGCTCGCACGAGCGGCGCCGCAACGGCACGCGGCCTCAGCTCGACCCCTACGCCGCGCTCGTCAACAGGATGCCTCCCGCCGGTGCCAAAAAGGTCACTCTCACTATTTCATTACTATTTTAACTTTTCTCACACCCTTCCCTATAAACTGCATTCTTTTACTATAATTTTTTTTTGCAAAAAAAGGAAAGCTATGTCAATTCTTAGCCTAGTGACTGAATTATGTTTCCCCCCAACAAAAAAATGGAGAATCCTCCAACCGTTATAGTAAACCGTAAATGAAATTTTTCATAAAAAATAAGAAACTTCATTACGTAATGCAGGATCAGTTGTGATTACGAAGTCCGGCTGCTGTTCGCTACTACTTAATTTCCACAAGCCATTTTAATAAATTGCAGTCCGATTGATATTCTTTTTTGGTTCACAGGTGAAAACGACGAAGGAGCTCTTAGAGCAGATCCAATCGAGGGGCAGCGTGGCCCCTTCGTCTCCGGGGTCACCGGGATCACCTCGTTCCCCCGCTTCGCCTGATGTCATGCTTATAGAACCTGACGGTATGTACTGCCGTCTATCACCACATACGACATGACTGTTCCTTTTTGGGTCTGATTTTCTTTTCGTTTCTCATTTTATATTAACTTGGCTATTTTTTACCATCTTAATTGCTAATCCTATTTTAAAATCTGATTCTTTCATGATCACTATCATCTAAAACATTACACTTATTCTGTCACGTAATAAACAAATTAAACTACAATTGTTCTTGCACCTTCTAACGTGTGTCTGTTCTGCAGCTCCGGCACCTGTAAAAGTGGAATCACCCTTACGCAACGGCGGCAAGTCTCCCAGGGCCGAGTCGCCCGAGCAGACCTATGAGCCGCTAGAGGACGAGCGAGAGTACTTCGAGTGCACCTGCGGGGACGCGGCGGAGGGGGAGGGGTCGGAGGACTGTCCCGCGGCGATCAAGAACGCGGTCCGGCCCGCCGTCGTCCACGCCCTGCACAACGCTTTCATCCCGGGGGTCAACGGCACCCGCGCGCCCGTGGACCCGCACCGCTTCGCCGTCCGCCCCGTCGAGATACCCGACCGACCCGGGTTCTTCTCGAGCGTCGTGCCCCTCTACAAGTACTCCGACTACGCGGACGACTATTGCGCTAAGAATTTGGCGAGAGTGCCCGTGTGCCCGCATTTACCCTGGACGGAGTTCGCGCCGCCGCCCCCGTCGCCGCCGCCCCCGCCCTCGCCGCCTCCGCTTCGGCCCTACCCCGTCGACTCGCCGGCGAGAGAGGAGCCCGAGGACGACGACGACGACGCGAGTGACGAAACGCGGCAGCCGAACTCCCCGTCGTCGCCGCGGCCCAAGGTGAAAGCGGAACTCGGTGCGACGGAACCCGTCGCGACGGCGCCGTCGCCGCCGAAGGCCGAGATGGTCGGCGTGCCGCGGCTCGAGCCGAGCGAGAGACTGAAAGCGCCGATACTGTCGCCGGATCACGAGCCGGCGTGGGCCCCCGCGGCGCCGCTGGCGCACGCCGCGGGCCCGCCGCCGCACCGCACCGTGGAGCGCACGAAAGAGCCGGGCGGCGGCGCGGCGCTGCTGCGGGCCGTGGGCGTGGCGCGGGACGCCGTGCGCTACGACTACGCGCAGCTGGAGGCGGCGCCGCAGCTGTCGCGCGCGGCGCTGGGCTCGGACGCGGCCGTGGAGGCGGCGCTGCAGGCCGAGGGCTCGCGCGACGCGCTGGGCCGGCCGGTGAGGCCCGAGCGCTTCGCCGAGTGGCACGAGTGCGCCCGCCTCGGCGCGCTGGTGGCGCTGCCGTACGTGGTGATCGACTGACGACGTACTGCCGAACGCGTACGTGACGCGCACCAAGTGTCCTTACGTCGCTCGCGGTGGCCGAACTCGAGATATTTATTCGTACCCGAGGTGATATTATACCGTGCGCGGGCCGCCCCGCCCGGACCGACCGCGGGCGCGGCCGAACCCGGTCCCGCGTATCGCTTAAGTGTTCAAGTGTTTGTATCGGACGTGTTGTGTTGTAACGCTTCGACCGCGCACCACGTCATAGAATATGTGCCTCGTGTAAATAATATTACACATAGTAGAACTTTGAGATATTTTTGATAATATAGACGAATTGTTAGTCGATACGTTTGCTCATTTCGAATTGTTTAAATGTACAAATATTGTTACGTGCACCGACCCGGTCTCCATGTCGACAGTCGAAGCGGCGCTACTTTTACATAAATACGTACTTTCCGCTTGGTTAATTTTGTTCTTTTAAGTTTTGCTCGACACAGGTATCTAGCTCGAGATAATTGTTCACAAATCTGAGCCTATTTTATGTACATCCGTGTAATAAATTCTTGCCTTATTCGAACCACGCTTGTCAATATTCGGCTCGAAGGACCAAAACATTGGGGTGCTTATCCACTAACTTTTAAAGCCAAATATCTAAACTGAGTACATTACAAAATAGTAATGTATGATAAAAATAAGCATAATTATTATATTAAGATTTCCAATTGCAAGATTTTATTTGATTGACACTGAACTTAATCCATTTATCTTTCAAATGCTCTCAAACAGTTTACCTGTTTTTTTTTCCATGTCTCATAAAGAAAAGTTTACTATTGAATATTTCCGCCGTGACGTGACTCTTATTGGTCAACCAACCAAATCGGATCTAACAACCGAAACAAAATAATTAAAACTTCCGTGTTAAAATTAAAATATGTTATTTCTGTCTCTCCTGTCGTGATAAAAAGAGACAGTGCTAAAAATAATTAGTAAAAAATCTTTTGAGTTATTGTTGTTTTGGTAAATTTTGTTAAGTTTTGTTAGCAAATTGGGTCTCAATATTTATTTAAGGTAACCCTGATACAACAGCAGTAAACAATGCCAAGCGGTAAACACAGTACATAAACACATACATAAATAATAATAATAATAGTTATATTATCCGCACACATAGTTACTGTCTGTCGCTAATAAAAAAGAATCTAACTCATTATATTAAAATAAATTAAAAAAATAATTATTAGGCAGTTTAGAAATTAAATAAAAAAATGAATGAATGAAAGGAACAGTTAATAAGATGGTATATGGTGGGGGTATTGAGCACTGAACTATTGCCGGAAACTGTGAATATTTCTGTCTCATAAGGCTTATATTAGCGACAGAAAGTACTTATAAGCTTTTAATTACACAGATAAATAAGTCTAATGGACGCTTCGCTATCTATCCTATAGTTCATTCGCATTAAGAAAATAGTGTCTCATCGATTAAGCCCCGCCCCCTGACCAATCAGGCTCCAAGAAATTACCGTTTTGTACGAATGCATGAAACCTGATTGGTTAGAGCGCGTGGCTAGTCGATACGTCACTATTTTCTGAACGAGAATGGACTAAATCCTATTGCATAAGAGCCTTACTACACTTAGTTGTAATGTTACCAAGCTATTACTAATCCTTTCAGGAGTATGATTTGATAAGTGGGTGGTTGTAATCGCTAATTTCTCTGCATATTATAGTAGCATATTTTTTTCATGGGAATTGTACCACTTTACATAGAATTTTTATTGAAACTTTGCTTCTTAAAATACCTCCCTGCCACTGTGACCATGGAAGAGCCAGGTCCTAACAGTTAGAGAACTATGTTTCGGTCCATAGTAATACCCATAACACAAGTTAATTTACCATGGGTTCCAGAGTCCAACTACTGTTTGTGCCCAGAATATTTATTGTTATTTTTGTATTACTTGAAGATCATTGTAATTTGGTTTCAAAAAAAAAAAAAACCGAGCCGCACAGAAAAATGAGTGAGTGACACATACCTTCTTAGTCACCAATAGTTTCATTAGTTCATTCATTCTTTTCACACTATTATTTTATTTTAATAAAAAAAAAACAAAAAATCTTTACGATTGAACTATATAATTTATTAGGTAATCAATTTCAATCCTTCATATCGAATCATATTCCTATAATCTTGCTATTCTGGTGTCAAACTTGATTATTTTTTCTATACATTAAGAGGAAAGCGGCGTCTCTCGACTCATTTGTCTATGGTCATCGCCGGCGCATGAGGCTCTGTGCACTTCACAACATCACATACAAAGATTCGGTCCACTACAATTGTGTAGTCATAGTGAACCCAAATAAGATTTAAAATAATCTGTCGACTGTTCAATTGTCGTTACCTTATGTGATTTATAAAATGAAATAAAGAAAAATTAGGTAATAAATAGGAGTTCCAATTGTATATTATATATAAATATTGCATCTACTGTGCATCAAGATATCAATGATAAAAAAAAAGAAACTGTGTTAAATTTTATAAATATTAAACGTGATTTAATATATGAAAAGTTGTACCAAATTGTTTATGGCAAGGTCTATGGCGTGTGTTATTGTCTATGGTTACTATTTATATGTTTTATGAGTGCATATCATTATGTTTACATACACATGGGAGAATTGTGTACCGTCCTTAGCTTTTGTATGTATGTATGTCTAAAGATTAAAGTAAAAAATTGAAAATATGTTACAGGGACTTGAATGCAAAAAAAATTGAGTTCAATTAAGTTTTTTGTGTCAACCAAGCTTTTAATGAGTGTTTTAAATTATTTTGAGTTGACAGGTCAATTCAGTTTTTCAGTTTTATATAATGCCACAAAGGCTGGGTATTCTTAACCCTTGGTTAAAATACCAAATATAAACCCATTTTTAACTTATATGGGTATACAAAATTTGTAGTATTTTACTAAAGAATAGTTACCGATGCTCTCTGTATTTAAAAAATATCTTGGATGTACATTTTATGGGTAAGTGACTGTCGTCCTAATGTGGGACACATTCACCCTATTATAGAACAGTTTAATCCTACCCCACCCTAATGTGGAACCAGTTCACCCTAATGTGTGGAACACCATTACCAGTAAGTCCAAAATTAGTTCTGAACATATTGACATTTAGGGATAGTTGGGCATTTTTTGCATTACTTGATATTTTAACCAATGTTTCATAATGACAGTCGTGAAAAACCTAGTGTTATAATATCAGATGCTTTCCCTGAATCAAATAATTAGCATATCAAGTATTTAATGAGTTATAAAAACTTAGTTGACTGCCTCTTTGGTACAGTAGGTAGCGTATGACACTCCTGTGCTAAGGGCTCGGGTTCGATGACCGGGTCGGACCCAATGTTTGTATAATTTGCAAATATTTGGATGTTTTCTATATATAATATGTATATATGTTTTTACAAAAAAAAAGGTTTATAAGTATTCTATCAGTCAATCTAGCTTTTATAGAACAAGCTATGCTTAGTTTGAAACTAGATGGCGTTTTATGTTTAGAAATCCGAAATATATATTTATTAGTAGTTTCTACCACTGATTTTCTATGAGATTAATTATCAGTTGACTTTAGGTTCGTCATATAGTTCGTGATATCCGATACTTAGTGACAAATCGAAATTGCAAATCTGCATCTCACTCTGTACAAGCAGTGTTCGTTAAGCAAAAATAAGATGCACGACTGCCTACATGCCTTTACCTTGATATCAAAAGTACAAATCTATGTAATTCATGGACAAAAACACACGTCTGACAATATTTAATACATATAAATGCGTAAAAAAATTATAAACAATTTTTCCAAATGATATTTTTACCAAAGTAGTAGTCGCCTTGGCAAGGCTTGGTTGCTCTCAAAATTACAGTTCCTAATTTGTACATTTCATTGGGTGCAATTATAATGTACGGGTCTGCGAAATTATCGATGTCAATTGAATATCAACTGTAAAAATTAAGATATAAGATTGTTTTTCTTTTTCTAAATTTATCGTGTAAATTATGTAGAAAGACTATTACAAATTCAAAGGTATTTTGAAGCTGTTAAGGTTGATTATAACTTTGACATCGATAATTCCGCCGCTCCCATAATCAAAGTTGTCCCTACAGGAACTTATGTAAATGTTGACAATTTGGTAAATTTTTCACTTTAAATATCTGATGTATCTATTGTGGAATACTGAAGATGTACCTACTTATGTAAACAGAACTCCATGCAATTAAGTTTAGAGAAAGCTGTGTGAAAATGAAAAGATCTGTAAAGTGATGTATAGATCAAAATGATCTCACAATGTTGACTGAAGAAAATTTTTGTCTTAGTAATTTACCAACCCATATAAAACCAATATCCATACCCGCCAAAAAAATGGCATTCAAAATTAAGACAGCATTTTGTCAAAACTGTTTTGTGGGTTGATTCTGTTTTGCATAAGCAGATTCAATTTATCTAGTTATAACTTACTGTTGTTTAAATGTTTTTGTTGTCGCTAAACAAAATAATTGTTTCACTTAGAGGGGAAGACTTGAGGACATCTATTTATGTGGCTCCTTAATGTAAAGTTGATGTCCCATTAGCGTTCAAAAGTAGTGTAACTATTAGGTGACCTATCAGATCCTAAACTTAATATATCACATCAACAGCCTTTGCTAGTTCACTGCTGGACATAGGCCTCTCCTTAGAAAGGAGGTTTTGGCCCACTATACCACGCTTTCCAGAGGGGTTGGTATAGGGTTTGTTTCAAGCTTTCCTTCTCTCTGCAGTGCTGTTGTCCTGCGTAGTTTGCTTCCTTAGTCGCCTCTTACGACACCCACGGGATGAATAGGGGTGGTGACACTCTGTATTCTTAATCCGTCACCACACGGACCACCACACAATTTAATGAATGTTGTAATCTAAATGCATGAATATATATATATATATATATATATATATATATTAAATAGCTATTCGCATTTCTTTCTTTATTTCGTGTTTTAACTT